TTTGTGTATGACTTGCTGGAGTACAGAACGGCGGGTGGAGAAATACACATCACACCACTTCCTGCAGACATCTTAAAACCCTGTTACTCAGAGAAAAATCTCCAAATCTTCCTTTCCCCTGAACTAAAACCTCAACCAAGTCAATGTCCCTCTCCCCCACAATCCTCCTTGACACAAAAGCCAAAAAAACCCATCCTGTCTCTATAGAAGAAGCAGCAGGCAAGTAATAATCAGTCATAGACAACAGAACTGCTTGTAATTCCAAACTTGTACACTGATCCTCATTGAGCAGGGCAATACAAGAAATGCCAAGATTACACAGGTCTTGCTTATTAGAAGCCACATAAGCCATGATCAATATACAATATTACTAATTGGAACAACTGGAACAACTGTGTTGTAGCCTAGGATTGAGAAATAGGAACTTCACCCTTCTGAGTTAAATTAATTCTGATTCATTTTACTATCTACAGCCTTGGGGAAAATCATCCTTCTGATTAATTTTCCTAAACTCTGTATTATTGCCTCTTTTGATGCTGCAGACCCCTCTGACAACAGCACAGTGATATCAGGCAATGCCAGATATCTTGCATTGAAGTCAGTGACTTCAGGTTTAACTCATATCTGTATTGCATTTCAATGACTTTTGCCTTTCTCGGATTGCGAATGTTCCTGTAACCCCAGGACTGACACACAGCCCCTGCTCCACAGAGTGGCGACCCAGAGGGAGCCATGGGAGTCACACAAAGATTTCTCTGCTGCCTGAGCATGAGCTATCATACATTTACATACTGTGGGCAGTAGCACACTGCCAGAACCCTGTCCTGGTCAGCGCACCCCATCCTGGGCAGTGCACCTCATCCTGGGCAGTGCACCTCGTCCTGGGCAGTGCGTCCCGTCCTGGGCAGTGCGTCCCGTCCTGGGCAGTGCGTCCCGTCCTGGGCAGTGCGTCCCGTCCTGGGCAGCACACCTCGTCCTGGGCAGCGCACCTCGTCCTGATCAGTGCACACTAAGGCTGAGCTAAGCACTCTCTGTGAGCCTCTACCTTCAGCCAGATGTTCATGGCTCTGGAGCCAAGGAGTGTATTGAGAACAACTTGCTCTCTGTACCGACATGCTCACGCAGAAATGGTACGGAATGCCACCAACATGCAAGGCAGTCCCTTCTGTCAAGCTTCCCCAGTTTCACTCAAGGGAAAACTTGTTTAAAAGATGACAAGTTAGAGAATGAACCAGGGAGCAAATTATCTTTCTGCTTACATCTTTTGTAATGCCACTTTGAACCCAAGGATCAGCACACCATACCCTCTAAACAGAACTATCTCATTAACTAAAAGTCATTTGGAAAGCAACCAAACATGCATCTACACAATTTTTTCTTCTCGTTTACTGATAGTTCAATGGACAGGACTTATTCCACAGTGCTGCTGACAAGCTTGGGACACCCATAGCCAGTGTTTGACTAATAACACTTGACAACTAGCAAAGGCTGTCTGATAGAAAAATTTTGCTTGCTAGGTCTAACTGAAATGTGGTTGAATCTCTGGCTTGTCTAAAAAGATTGAGCAGATCTCCTGTTTAAGGAGAATGTTAGCATTTTCATTATTTCATGCATCAGCAAATAATGATACATTCAATAATGTAATCTCTTTTTAAAATGCCATTTTCTGCATATGTGATTCAGTATATGATTCATTTTGTATTGCATAAGTTTTAAGACATGGTAAAGTGAAAAACTGCTTATAATATTTGAAGAGTTTTCCCTTCCATTCCTCTTTTTTTTTTACTTTGATTTTTCATCTGTTTGGATTTATCTTAATCAGAGAGAATAAATTCTCCATGGGATAGGAGTCTGTTCAACTGAAGCACCTAACACTGTGTGCACTGCTGCCATCCAAAAAACTAAAATCTTTTGTGCCTTTGTACTGTGTTTGTGTTTCTGGCTTACACGGATCACCATTGTGCACTTCAGAAATGTTTCTGTTCTAGATCCAATTCATTCTAGTCTAGCACACCATCCGCCCTTCCACACACTTCTGTTTAGCTATGCTCATTTCCTTTTAGGTTCAATTGAGTCTTTTTTGGCTCTTGTTCTGTATTTCTTTCTTGGATACAGAATTGGAGGAGTGGTGTATGGGGTGCATTATGCATATGTATTTGTGCACATCTTCAAATAGTCCCCATCTAATTGGTAGAAACATAGCTCTATTAAACTATTCCTTATTTCTATCTTTAATTAAATGTCATCCTTTTTTTCAGTTTCCCTTTTGGAGATTAACCAAGTTTCCTGTAAAACTGAGTCAATATTCACATGGAAGATGTTTTCTTCTATTGTTATTTCTCAGTGTTCTCACGAGAAGCAGTGTGCCTTGCAGAAGGTTTTCCTCTATGCACTTTCCCTCATTACTGTTCTTACTCCCTAAATGACTATTGAAAATGTCAGTCTTTTTTTTCACTTGACGGCACAGGACTCCAACAACCTAGTTCCCAGTGGATTAATCACTTTGTTTAAAGTGTTGGCATCTGTATCTGCAGGTTTGCTTACATTTCCATTTCCTGATTTTCCATTTCTGGATAAAAGAGGTTCAACATGAAAACTGAGAAAAATAGTTGGAGAGGCATGACCTCACAGAAATGCAAAACTCCCCTTCTTTAATGCTATCAAAGAAATTCACAGCAAAAACAACAACCTTGCTGTAAACCATTCACACTTCCAAACATGCTTCTGACTAGAGAAAAGGGAGAGAATCAAACACTTGTTAAGGGGAGTTCTGATGAGCTCTTGAGATGGAAAAGCTGGCACAGGAGATGTGAGATTCCAAACTGAGAGCTGTTCAGAAATCCAGGTCCTACTTTGGGGTGGAGGTGTAAAACTAGCTCTGAAATTTGGACATAAGTTCAAATTTCAAATAATAATGTTCTGACATGATAGACTTAGGGATTTTAGTTTAAGCCTCTTATAAGCTTTTAAAAGACAATTGCTGTTTTAAAAGCTATATCTGAACATATTCTTAAATATGGAACATAAATGAAATACACCCTCTAATTAGATATGAGTAGACACTAAATCATTATCCATCACAGAGTAAAAACTCTCCTTCCTTGGCAGACGGAAGATTAAATGTTTCCAGATATAAAATGGTAACATTCTAATGGTTACTAAAATATTGAGTTACAAGAAAGCCAAACCAAGAGATCTCTGAAACATTTTTATTCTTACCTGCTGAAATTTTAGTATTTTATTCAGGTGTCATTAAAGCGACTGAACTTTGATAGTTCAATTACATTTGCTTTTGTAATTCATTCGTTATTTATCTCCCTTTCCTCTGTTGGCAACTCAACCTCCCTTCAAAGCTTTGTGTCTTTTACTGCTGGCCTATAGGACATAACATAACAGAAGGAAGCTTGAAACCTTGCTGAATAAAGCAACGATATTCAGAAACAAAAGTCCAGGCTCATCCTAGCAGCGATAGTTGTCTGTAGCAATTTCTGAGTGGAGAATGTCAGGACAGGTCCCGTGTAGCAACAGTACCAGCAGCAGTGTCCTCTCTGTTACATGTAGGTCAGATCAGTTTTGCATTCCTATTTGATTCTGGCATGGTGACAGATCTGAGCCTAAGCAATCCCAGATCGAACTCCAAGACAACCCAGCTGGAAAGAAGTTTGTTGCCACAGAAACAATTTCTGGCAAGAGGGCTCCATGGAGAAGAACAGAGTATATACTTTCAGGAGAGCCTGTTTCTTACTCTCCCTCTAACAAGGTTCTTAACCTATTATCTACTCTTTTTCAGAGAAATTAGCTACAGCTTCCAGATTAAAAATGCCTAAAAAGCTTTTATTTTCCTATGTTATTAACAGGGTTCAGAATGGTGTTTCTAGTGGTGAAAAAGTGGATGTACCCCTTAGAGAGCAAACTGCAATGTTTTTCTTAGCTGCTGTTGCTTACTAATACCTTTAGTTAAAATTATTGGTCAGTTTCTTCTAAACATTCAAGCTGTTCTGTGTCTTTTCATAAACAATTGCCACCAGCTGTCAGGGTCAGCAGTTCTACAAATGCTTCAGCTGGCAGATTAATGCATAACAAGCAATAAAAGCCACTCAGAATAAGCTTTATAGGAAAAACAAGCATTAGAGAAGACGACCAGCTAATTATAAGGTAATGAGTCTCACAAGGCTGCCACATCTGGACTTCTTTTTCCACAGTTCTTCCCTTAAAAATAATTACTAAGTTGTGAAAATATTCTTATGAGTGGACATGACTTTCTTTATTTACCACCACACTGACACAATGCAGCCCTCAGAAGTGAAGCCCCAGGGCACTCTCAGGTCAGGACTAGAAAAACTGGAAGGCAAGAAATTTTCTTCTCCATGCACTGTTCACTGCAATGCCAAGAAAACCTGCATTTAGAGCATCAGCTGGTTAATCTGAGTGACACCATCCACAAGGCTGGTTAGGTGAGGAAAATTTACATTAATGCTCCCATCTTTGAACACCTGGCCCTGTTCAACTCTGCTCAGCCACAGCTGAGCTTCCTGTCTGTCTGACTTCACAAGCAGCCTCAGGCTCACCCTAATCAATGACATCCAGTACAATGACACCTGTGTGTACCTAGCTTTGGAGAGACTCGCTTTCCTCCCCTCTCTCCCCTTTCCCCATATCGCACTTCCCACTTTTCCTGATGCTGTAAGATTGCTTACAGTCCTCAGATCCAGAACAAAGGGGTAAATTTTTGTCCACTAACCACAAAGTGAAATAAACGCCTCTCACTTAAGGTCTCAAGTGACACAAGATTTTTAATGAGGTATTGGAACCACCGAATCTTTCTTCATTTAAAACTGTGATATTCAAATCACAATGCTGTGATACAGACCTTTTCACCTCTGCAGTCACAGAACAACTTGTCTGATCCATTAAACTCAGCATTTTCTTACAGTATTCTTCCTAGACCCTGTAAAGGCCTCTAAAACTTTGGGGATGTACTTTCCATGTTATCATCTTACCTGTATCAGCTGTATAGCACCGAGTGTAAAATAAGCTGGAAACAGCACTCTTAGGCCTCTTTACTCATCCAACAGAAAGTCTTTACAAGTGCATACGCAGGAACAGCCTGATATGGGGGAACAACATAGCAGCAGTAAGATGGGGAGGCAGGAAGTATAGGGGCAAGGACAGTAGAAAATTTTGTTTCCTCAAAGAAGAAATGAAAGAGTGGGTGTTAAATACACAGGACTGACTACCTTTTACTGGCTTCTTGATTAAAGAAAACTTGAAAGAAGAAGTGGTTAGACACTATGCTCTTCTGGGACCAGAGTGAATACAGGGTGCTAATGTGGAAAAAGTCACAGTGGGTGCTGACTAACAGACTGCTCAGAAAGTCCCATAATGCTCACAGTGACAGTCACATCTTATGAGCCTACGTGCAGCCATTTTTACTTACTTTACTGTTAAGTTTCCTTATATTTTTATTAATAAATATCTGCACTTGTTTTGAACAGAAGAGGACAGGACAAGCTGTTATATCCTTCTGAATTCTCTATTTCTCAGCTTCCCTCCCCATGCAACACACAAAAGAAGAAAGCATCACTCAGTGAATTGTTTTTTGTTTTTTCTTTCCAAAGACTGACAAAAACAGGAAAAGCATTCTCAACAAGGACAAGTTACAATAATGAACAAAAGGTTTTTATTCTATTGAAAAAAAAGATTAATTTCTCACCTGATGGATTTCATTTCTCTAAACAAATCCTCACATTTCAAGTTTTCCAAGCCAGATTCTGAATAGCAGCAAGAAAAGCGGCTTAGTGTTTGGAAAGTATAGTAATGACATATGCTTGAGATACAAAGACAAAACTATATAGGTGTACACAGAGCACCCACACATCAAAGATATGTGGTTTAGCAGTTTCATGTTAGGTGTTACTTTAGCTTGTGTTCTCAGGGGAAATAAAGTATTTAAGTCATTTACTAGTCCTTCAAAATATCTACTATCTATTCAACTCACACAGTACTAGTAAGTTCTCTGAAAATGACTCCAGGAACTTATCTACAGGCAACTGCTCTGATTCCTTGCTGCAAACAACAAACAGTTTCTGAGTTTATCTTAACAATTTCCTTTCATCAGTACAACTTGATCATTCAGCTCTCCTTGTGTCTAATTGGAACTCAAGAAAGTGTTTTTGAGAAAACCTTTATTCAAAGTTCCTGCCAGCAGGACCTTTGCCAAGGAAATTAATTTTGAAGTTGTGAATCTTTTGGACACATTGCTTTGGTTGAGTCCTTGGAGCACCTCGCAGTTTTGCTTTAACAACTCAGCTAGAAAACTGACTTACCACCTCTCCAGGGGTGAGACCTGCTCGGTGATGGAAAACTAACTTGCTTTCAAGAATGAATAGATAAAAATCAAACTCACCTGTTAGCAGAGTTTATGCAAAGAAGTTTTGCCTTCAATGTGAAGAGCACAAAACTTCCCTTCTCCTCACTCCTTCTCAGGCTGCTGGTGAGGCTGTCCTCCTCCCAGCTGTGAGCAAGGCTGTCCGTGAAACAGTGCAGGAAAGGAGGAGGAGATTGTGTTTCAGCTCCTGTGCTCCTTATGGTTCATCTGTGAAGGAGTCAGCCCCGCCCAGCCCTCTCCTTCCTCACCCACTCACTCATAAGTGAGAGAGATGAGAGTGCCAAAAGCAGGCACTGAATACAGAGAACGCAAAGTACACAGAGCGGTGTTCCCAGCCATCCCCACCGGCACACACACTGACCAGCAGAGAACTGCACCGTGATCACAGCAGCCGGTGCAGAGGCCAAATCCAGCTGCTTCCAGCTTATCTAAACACACACAGATGTTGCCTCACGCAGGCGTATTGAAAAGTACACAGAGTGTTAGTGTTGTTATTAGTATCAGTTACAGTCAGTTGTTTCTAGAGCTCATGATCAAACCATTACATCCAAACACAGGCAGAAGGGGATCTCTGCACAAGAAATATCTTCTCTCACTGTGAAAGAGCAAGGGTTGTGAGGGGGGCAGTGCCTTCCTCTCTCGTCTGCACAGACAGACTGGGGCATAAAGAGACTGAAGGGCTTGGCCGAGGTCATTCAGGAAGGGTGTAGCAGATGAAAAAGCTGACCTCCTGCTAACTCACACCACTACCCCTATTCCCACAGGAGTGAAAGCTGCACTGTGGGATATGTATTAAACTGTCTCACTCAAACTGAAACATATTACTTTTAAAAACAAAGATAAATACAAATTACACCATTGAAGCTGGAAACAAAAACTGGTACCAGGTCAGGCTCTAAACTCAGGTGCATAACTCAGCTGATGCAGTGCTCTGCCATGCAGCTGTAGGGACACCAGTGGCACTACATGGTCACAGCAGCACCCAACCAGTGCTCCCTCCTGCTCACTGCAATGGGTAACAGTGCTCTGAGGACAGCTGGACAGTGAGTCTGGAAACAGGAATCTTGTGCATGGAACTCTAAGATGTGTTCTCCATTTCCAACCTGGTGGAAAGCAGAGTGATATAAGCACAGGAAAAAAAAATAGAAAAAATAAAACAAACTAAAACAGGGAGAAGACAAAAGAACATTTAGAAAACCTGGAAATGCTCCAGGAGAACCCATGGCTAACATCAGAAACATTATCAAAAATAACTCCTCATTCCAAACACAGACAAAGGGCTCTTCAGGTACAACAGGCTACCGAACGGCAGAGCCCTTTCTTTGCCAGGGCCTCTGGCAGGTCAGAGATCTAAAATTATCTGCAGGGTTAAGAAACGTCGCTGAATTTCTGAGGAGGCATGCAGCAAAAAAAAAAAAAAAAGAAAGGAAATTCTTGGATATGGTCATGAAAGGCTGCAACAAGCAGAGAACTGTCCTTTGCAGGCTTACTGTGCTGCTTGGAGGATGTCAAAGGTCAGGCAGCACACCTGGCTGAACACAATCTCCTGGAAGAGAGGCCAGAGGCTGAACACCCTCTGCAATATTAAGAAATATGAATGTCAAATTTATTAGGACTACTGGAAATACTCCCTCTTCTGATTAATTTTTGTTGTTGATGTTTGTTTGTGGTTTAATTTTTTTTAAATTTTGTACTCATTTAATCTTTATTATTTATTTTTAAATACATATATAAGAATACACATATTAAGAAAATCACCAGATTGGACCTTCCAGGAAGTGACATAAAACATTTGTTTCAATACCTCTTAATCCAAAATTATGTATCCTTGGATACTGTGAGGCTTTTTTTGAAGACTTTATAAAAGATGGTATTAAGAAAATGAAGTGCAGTAACTTCCTTAGAAGTATATGCTCTATTCTTCAGTAAAAAGCAACAGGGCATTATACTGGGCCACTTGCCTTCCTTGAGAGACTGTCTAGGGCAGACACCATGTGGTACCCAGTTCTCACTGGTGGCTGCAGGGAAAGCATTGCACCTTCTGCAGGGTCCAGGCTGCAGATAGGAAACAAGCCCTGAGAAGAACCACAGTCAGTGATTACCCTTTGGGTGCCAGAAAAAGCAGAGATACTTGCAGAGGTAATATTGTGGGCTGTATCTCTTTCCTGGTTCCCACCTTGGCTGCAGTTGTCTTGTCATGCTGATGTGCGTACCTGCTCAAAGATGTGTTACACCAGTGTTGAATACAGGTGGACAGAATATCCAGAAGGCACAGCCTGAACCTTGCTCATCAAACACAATACAGGTCGATCAAAGCAGGCTAAAAGGCAGCACCTGACCCATGCAGCTGGTAAAATATGCTTTGTAAGTGGAGCAGAAACACTGACTTCCACAAACCTCTCTCTCAGAAAATTACAGAGGAAAATAAACTCCAGAAAAATCCTGTGTTTGTTTCTTTTTCATCCAGACATTCTATTTTGCTTGTCTCAGCATGCAGATGCTGTAAAGCAGGTAACTAAAATAAGGGGATTTAAGGCCTTGGTGACCTGTCTTCATCACTTCCAAGGAGGCAGAGCCATGTGTTGCCACCTCCATCACACACACTCAGCCACTGCATGTTGGCCATATTTAGTTAGTCTCAAAATGAAAAGGAATAACATTTTTGGTAGCCTTTTACCTTCACGAATTATACAGTAGCTATTAAAGCTGACAAACAGCTATTACTCACTGCAAGTAGCAATTCTAGCTTTTTGCTCACTTTGGTCAAATAATTTTAAAGTGTGTGATGATTAAGTAACACTATTGATTTTAATTGCTCTTGGCTAACATATGTCAAAACCAGAAGCAACAAGATTGAAAAAGAATGGAGCTAAACTGGTCTTATGAAAGTCACAGATGCCATGGAAATGCAGCAGGAAGGAGGCCATTGAGACCATCTCCTTACCCATTGCGGAAAGCCAGACTAGCTCCTCTAGAGCTTATGATTCTCGTAAATTGCCATTGAGGAAGATTCTGCCTCATCTCTTGCAATACCTCCATTCCATGACTAGTGCTGTTCTTAAGAAGCTTGCACTAATATAAAAATCATTACCCTCCATGTTTCCAATTAATTTATCTTTTTATTGCCCTTCTGTGAATGTACATGAAAACAGACTATTGCTACCTTTCTCGATATTGATCATTTAAATGTCTGAGGATTAATCATACTGTTTGTCTTAGATTTTTGTAGATTAAGCAACCTCACTTTTCCAGTGTTTTTTGTAGATCATGTTTTCCAGGTCTCTGCTCACCCACAGTGGTCTCATTTCCAGTCATCAGCATCCCTCCTTAAGTATATTCCAGCAGAGGCCCTTTCTGGCAGTGTTGGCATTGATTCCAAGTACTTGATCTACGCTTTGCCTATGAGGGTCAACTTTCCTATGAAATTTGATTTAAATCCTTTCAAGCACCCATTTTGGTGAGGAAAAGAGGAAAACACGTAAATTCTCTCTTTTGTAGTGATAAGCCACAGAGACATTCCCATTTGCATAGCTGAGTAACAAGAACTTGCTAATGTTCTTGCTGGTACCACCCTGGAGTCCCTGCAGGGTCAGCTCTTACACTGTCCAGAGGGGTGGCTGTGCAAAAAAACGCTTCACTTGTATCAGAGGTTTCACTGCAGCCAGGCATCTTGCTTTATCTAGCTGTTTTCCTCCTATCTTCCTTTGCTTCTGCTCTTATTCCCATCTGCCCAATGTGTTATTTCTAACCCTTCCCACAAGTTAGAAGAACAACAGGTTGTTCACAGGGACGTGTGACCAGCAGGAAATTCTCTCTGTCCTCGCTACGCTGGTGTTTTTCAAACCCCTTCAAAATTTAAATACAAAATCACTCAAAATGTCCTATTTTTGCCCACCTCAGTAGAGGGAGGAACCTGGAATGGCAGCAAGGACTCAATAAGCTAGATAGGAACAGCAAGCCATCCCCACAGGGTTGGGGTTTTTTGCCAGGTAACATATGCCTCTCTAATTCCTTCCTGAGGCAGGAAACATGTTTCATTTACACTGAAAATGCTATTTAACAATCTTTTGCACCTAGACTGCAAATATCCAACATTTTGAGACCTCATTTTGCAGACTAGAAATGAGCTTCATGTTGGTGAATTTGGCAACCAAGTAATACCAAGTATGGTGGCTACATGTGGATTACCACTCATCATCTGCAGAGGATCATGGACCTGTAGAGGATCAGCTGGCCTGTCCTAGAGTGCTCTGTGGTACAGCTGCAAGCACCCAGTTCTTCCCTTTGCCTATAAAGGCAGAAAGGCCTCACTCTTACAGAGGAGTGAAGAATGAGGTGATATGAGCATCACACAGCTATCCAGGAGCTCTGCCCGTTTCT